AGGACGAATTAATTAAAGTGCAATAGGTGCGATGTCGTTCGGCAAATGTCGTGCTCTATGCCATTTTCTGTATCATGGACCATTAGTTTTTAATTGGAATCTCAAGTACGACGTTAGATCAAATGATTGAGACCAAATTTGAAATTAATAATTTGATTAACATGAATTAGTCCCATTATGTCGTAAGAGCCTACAATATTTTATATACAATATTCGATCCCCACATAGTAAAAGACATGGTGAGGGCCATACATTGATTAATAATTTCACATAGATTAGGCACAGAAACAAAACACCCATACAAGACTAACTATGTGTATATATTTGTGTATTTTTTTCATTCTTTCGTTTTTTCATCTACCAAAGATATATTCATCATTTCTATTTATTATCCCTCTTACCAGCCACAAAAAAGTGAAGAAAAAATGTTGTTAAACTTTTTCATTCATCTTAGTAAACGGACCATTTAGCTCTAAAAATTCGTAGTTTTTTTCTCCAGAAAGTATGGTTTCCCTTAGGGTTCACACGACTTGATGTAGAGGTAGAGTGATTGAAAAGTAAATGGATGGAAAAGGACAAAATTAGATAAAACATTATATTTGGCTAACAATGAGAAATAGAAGAGATGAAACTTTCTTGTAGCCCATCAAAATTTATGCCTCCAATTTTTTTTTAGAAAAGCAGACAAAAAGCTAAACCTATGTGTTGAAATACATGTTATTTACTTTAATCTCTTAATATAAATATTTTATAAGTCCATTAAATAAGATGAAGAAGTTGATTTCATTTGTTAAGGATATAATAATATAATATACACATGCACTTTCTTCTTCTTTCCACTTTTCCATCAATGCCAGATGGAGGAAAAAGATCATCCCTCCCAATTTTCTTTCCTTTACCATACATAAAAAAGAGAAGGATGTTTCTTTCCATTTGGAATAAAAAGTGCATTACTTTATTTTGTTCAAATTTTCCATCATTTTCTATGAAAATGCAATGACAAAAAATGAGTTACTCGCACTCTACGTATTGGCAAAACCCTACTTCTAAGAATTAAATAGTTCTGATTCCTTTAACACCTTCACTTTGTTGGTATATCATGATCAAAACATCTATATTTTGTTTTTAAAAATTTGATTATTTTATGAATTGTTGTAAAAAAAATTTAGTGAAAATTATACTATCAAAATCGTCAAATGAAGTTAAACATATAGAGTATATTTAGTATAGAGGTATCCTGACTTAGTGTATCCAGTTGTTTTAAGTTTTGTTGTGACATTATGTCATTATCGTATCGTACTTGTATCATATTTGTATTTTGCTTCTTAGTCTACAAGGAAGGCATAAGTTGGTATCAATTTTAAACTTCTCCCTTAAATTCCTCCGCATATGTACCCCAAATGTAATCTTTAATTATAAAAACGCTGGTCCTAATAAAGGGATTGATATCTTATTCACTTAATGTTAGATCTTTTATTGTAGATTCAAGTAAGATCCACTATTTATAAATAAACCCTCAGTTATACGCAATGGGGCCTCCAATTAATTTGTTTTTTGAACGAGATAAGCTAAAAAGAAAAATATTCAAATAGCAGCAGATAAAAGTAACAACATTACAAGAGAAATTCGATCAATGGCTGATTGGGCCATTCTTTAACTTCCCCAACTAGGTCAATCTCACAACAACCTCTGTTTTTTTTTTTCTTTTTTCTTTTTTTTTTCTTTTTGGACTTGTGGTTGTTACTATAATCTCAAACATACACAATTACACACGTGTGTGCCACTTAAGCTCAAATTTTATATAACAAGAGAAATTCGAAATCAGGATACATTGTCCAAAATATAAAGTTCGTTATTTTTTGGATAAAATCATATAGTTCAGGGGCACAATTATAAAATTTCCCATTAGGTTTCTAACAGTCGTTAATCATTGGGCAATGTGAACTAATAACGTAGTTGAAAGTACAATAAGAGAAATATAATAGTTGAGGAGATTGTGTGAAAAAAAAAAGTGACAATGGAGTGGGGTCAAAGTCACTACAACAAAAAATATTTTTTGTGACGATTTTAAATTTGTCGCAAAAAATTTACTATTCGCGATGACTTTATAATTTTGTCCCAAATTTGTACTTTTAGCAAATTTTTTGCGACGATGTTTTAAAAACGTCGCAAAAAGTCGATTCCCTCCTACTTGTTTTTAGCGGGAGAAATGGCGGAAATTTTTTCCAACAAAAAATTTTCGTGACAAATAGTTTTATCTTGTCGCAAAAATAAATAATTTACAATTTAAAGTAAAATAAAATCTAAATTTATATTTTTGCAATTTTTTACGATGTTTTTTTTAAATACGTCGGGAAAGAAAGATTCCCTCCAAATTATTTTTGCGAAAGCAATGGCGGGAGTTGAAAAATATTTATTTACGACGTTTTTAAATTCATCGCAAAAACCCAATATCTGCGACGATTTAATAATTTTGTCGCAAATAATTATTACGGTAATTTTATTCGCGACGTTTTCATATTTGTCGCAAAAAAGTATTCCATCTGCGATGTGTTTTTGAGTTTGCCGCAAAAAATGTGAGAAATGAAAATTTTTTTTATCAAATTAAATAATAAAAAATTAAAATAAAATAAAATAAAAATTTTATTCGCGACGTTTTTATATTGATCGCAAAAAATGATACTATCTGCGACGTGTTTTTGAGTTTGTCGCAAAAAATGGGAGAAATGAAAATTTTCTTGTGTCAAATTAAATAATAAAAAATTAAAAGAAAAGAAAATAACAAGTTTATTCGCGACGTTTTTAAATTCGTCGCAAAAAATATATTATCTGCGACGTTTTTTGAATTCGTCGCGAAAAATGTGAGAAATTTCAATTTTTTTATCAAATTAAATTAAAATTTTATTCGCAACGTTTTTAAATTCGTCGCAAAAAACCTAATATTTGCGACGATTTTTTTATGTTCGTTGCAAAAAAGTGATTTCCTCTTCCTTCCTTGTAATACTAAATATATCGGGAAATGAATATTTATTTACGATAAAAAAAATTTTGTTGCAAATTAAATAATAAACTTTCACTGTGCAAATCATCCCATACCCCAAGAATCTTACCATAATCCTCATTAGCCTAGAAGCTCAGATCTATTTTCACTCATATGTACACATATTCTGCTCACCCATGTTATATTCACCATCAATGGGCCTTACTTATCTACTTGTTTCTTTGTTAATGGATGATTATACAAAGTGGCATTGTTGACTTGAGGTACTGTTGCGCTCAAGATTTTTTTTCGTATTTTAGGTTGTATTAATTGAATTACATAAGGTTCAAAAAAAAAAAAATTGAATTGTATTGTATTTAAAAATTGTAATGTTTAAACTTCAGTAAATGATTAATAGTTGGATAACTAATGATTTATTGGACTAATAAGAAGTTATTATAATATGTTATTATTGTCTTTTTATCTTTTTTAGGATAGTATTATCAATTCAATTTTTTTGATAAACATTGACATTTGAAAGTAGTATGTAGGTTATTAGATCTATTCAAATATTTATTTTTTTTTTAGCAAATTTGGATATTCACTACATACCTACAAACATATAATGTAATTTGGTGATTATTTAATAATATTGAAGATAAATCCATATTCTAAATGTTAACATCATCTATAATCAACTTATTTAGATAAGAACGAATATCTATTTTAACGAATTTTTATGTGAGCTATGAAAAATAAAATTTATTAGATAATTGAATTGGATTCGGATCATATTTTTCAAATTGAATTTTAATCAAATTTATATTGTTTGGAAAGAAGATAATCAAAAGTCAAACAATGAATTTATTAGTTGAATTAACACAATTAATAAAAAAATAAAAATAGTCTTAAAAAAAAAGATAAAGTTGACATTATAAAATTTTTAAACGGTAAATAAAAAAATTAATTTTGTTTATCTTAAGTCATTTTTAATAAAATAAATTTTTTTTATTTTTATATTAAATAAAATTATTATTTCGCGATATTTTTATATTCGTTACAGAATGTAATTTTTGTAATTTTAAATTAGACTTAAAATATTAATTGCGATGTTTTTAAAAAATATCATGAAAAGGTAATTTCCACCAAATTTTTTTTGGCGCATACTATTCGCTACGATTTCATAATTTTGTCGCAATTTTTTTTTTTACAAAATCTTTTTTATAATTTTAAATTAAACTTAAAATATTAATTGCGACGTTTTCAAAAAAACGTCGTGAAAACGATATTCCTAAAATTTCCCTCCAACAGACTACTTATCGCACTCTATTTTCCATAGCCTCCATTTCACTTGCTAGCCAAGTTCCTCCCTACGATTTCTCTCTCTCTCTCTCTCACTGAAGCTCCAAATCACAGAAGCTCCACCTGCCTCTCCATCGATTGAACTCGAAGAAGCTGCCTCTCTCTACCAGTTGTCGAAGAACCAGCCACACCAGTCGTTGAAGCCACAAGCCACACCAGTCCTCAACGCCAGGCCACCGCCACAGCCATCGCCAGCAACCTAGAAACCCCCTTCGCCCCTCCCCAACCCAGAAAACACCCCCACCCGAAAGCCCCTCCCCAGCCTAGAAACCCCCAGCAATCCTTGATTTTTAATCTTTGATTCAACTCAGAGATCAAGCCGAAGCTCAGCTGAAGCTCAGGCACCAATTTGATCTTTGATTTTTCTGATTTTTTTAGTGCAAAAACAGATTATTGGTTTATTTTTTGGGTAATTTATTTTCATGGGTTGGTATGTTTGTTGTGGATTTTGTCTTATACTTTTGTTTGTGGATTTGTTAAATTCTACTCACTTTAATGTTTGACAGTTTTTTTATTGTTTGCTACGAATTTTTGTTATTTGAAGAGGAATTAGTTTTTTGGTACCGTTTCTTAATCTGCTGGGTATGTGGGTTTTTGCTGAAAATGTGTTTTATGGTCTGAGATTTTTTGCAAAATAACACTCTGCTTTGATGCATAGATGGCTATGCAAAGTTTCACTGAGAAAATTGTGAATTTGATGAAAAGTGAAAATTTGCTTGAGTCCCAAGGTGGCCCCATCATACTTTCTCAGGTATGGCTTCCATGTTTTGGTATTTTAATTTTCACCACATATGCACTCATGTCAAATCTGGGTGTTGAGCCATACATTAAAATAAATTCATCAATGTAGCAGTTACTCTAGAGTCTAGATAGAAAATGGAAACTTGTTGAGGATATCCATCCATTATTGCTAGAACTAAATTTCAGTTTTCACAATGATGGTACTGGCTAATTTGTTTTGTAGATTGAGAATGAGTATGGGCCACAAGGTAAGGCATTTGGAGCTGCTGGTCATCAGTGCATAACTTGGGCTGCAAATTTGGCGGTCGGGTTGGGTACAGGAGTTCCCTGGGTAATGTGCAGGGAAGAAGATGCCCCAGATCCAGTGAATTCATGGAGGGATGGGCTACATACAAGTATAACCTCCCTGGTATAAATAATCATACTTCTTTATACACTGCTAACACATATCACAGAAATTTGGTATCGAACTATGTAATTTATGTGTATATCCTATCACAAGGAGAAGGAATGAAAGGTAAGGTTCTCTAAATAAAACACACACTGAACACAACCGTTCTGGGGTATATTATTGTTCCACTTACTTTACTTCTTCACCCTCTCTTCTTTTCTTAATTGCATCTCCCGCAGAGCTGGGGTGATTGAATCTAGCTGCTCATTTAATGTTCTCGCCATTTTCTCTGGTTGTCACAAGCAGAAATACTTGATTCGGCGAAGGTGAGTAATTTTTTTCCGAACAGTAGTAGAATCTGGTTGCAATGTATCGCACCATGGGCACAACTTTTGGATGGAAGCCATAACAAATTTAGGGAAAATCCACATATAATTGTGTATTTTGTCAAATGAAAAGAGTGTTCTCTGTCAACTATAACATTGTGACCAGTCTCTGAAGTTTTGTTGTAATCATTGAATTTCTTCACTAAGAATTTCAAGTCTGTCTTGCTCTTTAGGCTATAATTGGAGGATAACTGGGTGATTGAGTACTGTGTCTTATTTTGTTCATCAATTGAAAGTTTCTGCAATTTGTACAAATCAATTTTATATATGTTGATGATACATCTATACAGTAAGATGCGATTTTTTGTCAGGCAAATTTCTATTCTCTTGAAAGTACAGAGGTACACTTCAAACTCTCTCCTTCTTTGACTATTTTTTAAATAGTCTGATCACTTACAGATGGACTGTTCACGTTACTGTTCATTACACATTCAGTTGCATTCTTTTAGCTTATGCCAGGGATTTTGTCATTCTGTCAGCTGGTTTTCTTCTCCTTCAGCTGCTAATTCCAGTTGGAATTTTCATTCTCCAGCTGAGAGTATTTTTTTGGCTATATGATTGTTCACGTCTCTTGGATTGCTCAGCTCGTTTTAGCTTCAGAATTTGGGTATATTTCAGCTGGACTGATTTGTTCCAACTGATTTTTAATGCAGCTGAGGTTTTCAGCGATTTGTTCCAGCTTGGAGAATTAGGCAGCAAAGGGTTTTTAATTGAGTGAGTTGGAAATGGAATGGTGGACATGGTACATACTAGTGATTTGTTTTTATTTCCTTGTGATCCGGATTTCTTTAACTTGCTTACTGTGTTATTGTGCAATTATCTTACCATCTATGTCCTGTTAAATGTTCAGATGACATTTTTCGTATTTCTTACCGATTTAAAGATTCTCAGTATAAGAAAAAAACCTTTGCATGGTAATCATCACCTTCTGTTAGTTGAGATTGACATTTTCCTTTTCTTGTGGAACCTGTAGGTTCGGGAGTACATTGATGACATAGAAGATTATGTACACTTCCCCTCGTTCTACCAATACAACTATCTAACCCATTTTCCCTTAGGCCATACTTGTACCCTAGTACTACGGTGACTTCCGTTGCTTGCTTCAAATAGAGCCGAGATCCTAAATTTGACCTCTATAGCCAAACAAGTCCCAAGTAAACCACCACAAGTGTTAGAGATCAACTTACCTAAATTTAACACGAACCAAACAATCATTAATCTCAAAGGCATTGCAGCAAGTATATCAAATCATCATTTGTTCTTTAAATGCATCAGTTTTGATCACACTTCCATTCAGAAGACTAAAACCAAATTTCAATAAATGGTGCAGATGGGCAATGCTTGGATAGATGATAATACCAACACAAAGGGAATGTATGACTTCTACTGGACACATGCTTTGAATTCTGATGAAACCCATGCAGGAATTGACAAGTAGTGCGACTATATTACTGGAAATTTTTCAGATACGTGCAATCAATATCAAAATCAAGGAGACTACGAATATGGAAATATTGACATCTACAACATATATGCTCCACTTTGCCATTCATCGGGAAGCAAACCTGGTCCCCCTGGTTCTGTAAGTCCATACTCTAGTGACATTCATGTTTAGTGACAATTACAGAACTCTATCATGAAACAAGGAAAATAGTGAAAACAATATCATGATAGAAGAAAGATATATAAAATGTTTTTTAAAGGGAGGAGAAGAAGAGAAAGGAGGGGCGGGGAGGTTGCCCTCCACTGCATCATAGAGGTGGTAGTACAACTCCTGTGTTCTGGAGACAATTTCATAGTTAGATTCAACTAAAAGGAGTATTACTCACATGGTCATTGACTAGTAATGACTACACTACTATACACAATGAACACCCTTGGTACTTGACTTGAGATTAGAATGAATCTTGAATGAGTTCACAACTTCCACACCGTTTTTTCTTTTAAATTAATTAGAATGCTCAGAATTGAGTTCAGAATGTCATCTAACAAAACCAATAAGGATAGATTTAGGACTCACTATTTGAGCAAACCGCCATATCAGTTCATTCAAGTTAAGCTGTAAATGATCTTATTCTTAAGGTTACATAATCAGGTGAAGGACTTTGATCCCTGCTTCGATGACTACGTCGCCTCTAGCTGAATCTACATGAGGTGCAAAAAGCTCTTCATGCCATGCAAACCGGATGGTCGGTTGCAGGTATTGTCTTTTTATTTATATTGTAGTATCATACACATGGTAACAAGGTATCACACATTCCAACCTCAAAATTGATCAACTTCTCAAGTTCGACCTTACGCATTGAACCACGTCATCTTATATCTAGATATGTATCATGTTCAAGCAGAACCACTAACTAGCTTCCCTCCTGAATCTTGCACATCAGTTTTGGCTGGACAGATAGGCCAACAACCATTCTACCCACATCAAGCAGCTCATGGCAAGTTGTATCAGTGTATGGGTGTACAGGTATGTCCTACATGTTTCTTTTTTTTGGTGCTAGTAAGTCCTACTTGTTTCAATTCATATTATTCACCAAATATCCATTATTTCTAGCAATGAACACTTGTAGTCTCTGGTGTGTTGATTTGGATAGTCTTCTGACACAAACAAAAGCCTTAGAAGCAGGAGAAGAACTTGGCCATTTCACTGGGGGCAGACTGAATGCATTAAAGAGCTATAAAGGAATAATTTGAACCTGTTTTTGAAGACTGGGAAGTTGGTCTGTGTTGCTGGATTGAAAAATCTGGGATGTCATGGAGCACTGGATTATTTCTGTAAGGAGGAGGTGGTTGGATATGAAGCAGTTGCATGGAGCTTGCTAGAGGCTTGGGTGCTGATATGAGACATTAAATGTATTAGAGATGGTTTAATTATCTTGAAGGATTAAAGCCATTTTTTTTATTTTTAGAACTTTTTTTCTTTGATTCTTGTAATTCATTCTTTTGGGAAATAAAATTGTTTTTTTAAAAAAAAGATGTGAAATGTATGTTTAATGGAATATATGAAATGTATTAATTGTGTTTAGCTTTTATTGAACATAGGTAATTATTGGTGTACCAGGTGAAAAATTTTATTGGATATCATTTTTTTATTAATTATTTTCAAAAAAAAAAATATTTTTGCAACGAAATTAAAATCGTCGCGCAAAATTGTAGGAACAATCTTTTTTTCGATACGATTTTTATACGTCGCAAATGTATTTATTTCAATTTATTATTTACATTTTTTATTT